TGGAGGGTCAGCTCCGAGTGGAGGGTCAGCCCGGAGTGGAGGGTCAGCCCGGAGTGGAGGGTCAGCCCGGAGTTAGTTCTGACTCCTTGGTGGCACTGATATCCCCAGTTCTGTTTTAGGCATTAGGCATCCAGCAGCACTATATTACGTGAGTCTAACACTAGATGAGTCTTTCTACTCTGAGTAATAATTTTTCACAATCTGCAATGTTTATGTTACCACCTAAGATTTTTCTTTAAAGCAAACTCTGTCTTTAACTGGTTAGTGAGAAAAAAAAATCAGAGTACAATTTATGTAAAAGTCTAGTATATTGTATGTATTTATTTCATACTCAACAGGCAGCCAAGGGTAATGCAATGCGGCCCCGTCCCGACCCACCCACTTACATCCTTTGTCCAGAAGTTGATGCCCGTGCCTCTCCGACGTTCCTTGGGTCGCCTCCTGTCTCGGATGGACAGCCTGCTGGAGGACTGATTATCTAAATCTCCTTCTTCACTCTCTGGCCAGAGGTAGGGAAAAAAACCAAACAAACAGGTTTTAAGGACATGAGGCATGTGCACAGGGGAGGGACTTGCACTTTATGAAGCTCTACATACCATTTTTATCCATTTCCTTTGAAGTGTTTATGGTAGTCTCCGAATTCTCAGAATCAGGGACTGAAGACCTACTTGTCCGTAGCAGATGGGAACTAGTGTAGAGTGAAGGTCTTGATGCAGATGGTGATACTGGTGTTGTGGGTTTGTCTGGCTTAACTGGACACCTCAGGCGATGAGAGAGAGACTGCAAATAATGCACAGGCAGAGATGTCAGAGGTCAAACCCAAACAAAGGAGAAGAACAGTAGTTTTATTCAGGATGAGGTTTTTTTCCTTTGATCACGTGTGTATTAACAGCAGATATTCAAAAATTATGGAACTGGATTAATGCCAATTAATTAAACAGGAAGGAACGAGCTTCTGAGGTGCATCTCTGACCATACCATCAAACTGGTAGCCTGATCAGAGGCAAATCACTGCTACACTGAAGAAAGGTCAACCAGACAGCATTAACCTTGTTCACAAAAGCCCTTTGAGGCTGAGGTGAAATCGGTGGCTCTTTTAAGACAGAGAGCTGAAAGGTCAGGTTATGTAGGCAAATCACAAAGCTCAGGAATAAGAAACAGCAGAGTGTAGGAGTTCTCTAAGCATTCAATTGGGTTCTGAGTACCCTGTCATAACAGGCTTGTTGAAACTTTTCTTTCCTCTCTTAGATACTGGGCAAAGACTTATGCTAGGTCTTGACTTCAATCATTAAAGACGCAGAGACAGAGAATACTTACTCCACATTAAAATTATATCAAAGAACTGTAATATATTTTTGTTTATAAATTTAATAGTTGGAATCAATAAAATATTGATTGGAAGTTAGGTACAACTCAGACCAGATTCTAACTTCAGCACTTTCTAGCTGTATGACCTTGAGTAAGTTTCTAAGCTTCCGATGACTTATGTGTAATTTGGGGATAACATCTACCTCAGAGAGAATTTTGAGAATTGTGTGAGGTAATGTAAGTCGGACGCTTAACACAGTACCTGGCAATGAACAAATGAACCAAAAAAGGGCTTTAAATCCATTACTGTTAAGTCAATTCTGACTCGTGGCTATCCAAATAGATAATCAGCACTCAATAAATAGTATCCCCGAAGGAAAAGAAAGAATGGAATTTTATTTTATGGAGCTTTGGTATTCCTTTACGAGTACCTGTAAAGACTATAAAATTATCCAAACTGAGGCATTTCTGAGAGGAATCATATCGATAACTACACAGGAACGAGTTTAACTGGGCTCCTGTTAGGGAAACCAGGAGGTATGCTCACCCCAGCTATAACCCTGTAGCTTTGGCTACCATTCCTACTGAAACGTGGAGCAAAAAGTAAAAAGGTGCATCTCAAAAGTGATACTTCGTGACATGGGAATAAGAGGTCCTTTGTAAACTCTGAGTTTTACAGAAGCTTAGAGAAGTGATGCACACGTGGCTAGGAATGCATGCTATGGAATCACACTGCCTACGTTCAAAAGCGTGCTTGATAAGCTCTATGTTAACTTGGAGATGTCACTTAACTTTTCTGTGACTCAGTTTCCTCATATGTGAAATAGGTGTGATAATATCTACCTCATAGGTACATTTGAAGATTAAATTAATGAAAAACATCCGAAAAAAACCAAACAACCCCTCATTGGTATCGAGTTGGAAAGCGCTGATCCTCTAGCGAGTGGGTTTCTGAGGCTGTAAATCCCATGGAAGGAGAGTTCCCTTCTTCCTCCCGCAGAGCTGCTAGTGTACCGAAATGAGAGAAGTGTGGTCTTTGGGCTAGCAGCGCAACTTCCCGTAAAGACTAGGTCATCAGAGCTCCCTAAAATCAATTAATTCAACCCCTCTAAATCATTGCCACCAGGTCAGAAGCGACTCACAGCTGACCCTCCAGTGGGGTTCTATAGGTTTATATTGTACAGGAGTTCACCTATCTCTCTCCCTCAAAGCTGCTGCTGCTGCTGGACTCAGACCACGGGAGCAGCCTTACCTTTGGGTCAGCAACATGACTCCCTACGGGCCATGCCCCCAGACCTCCGAATGAACAAACTACTGCACATGAGCAACTTAAAATACTGCCCGGCGTAACACAGGCACCCAATAAATACTCCTATTTTTATTTGTATTTTATTATACTACGACCTGGCGACCAAGTGGGTTAACCCAAAGGCAGGTGGTTTGAATCCACCAGCTGTTCTGTGGGAGAAAGATGAGCAAACTCCTCCTTTGTGATTTACAGCCTCCAAAACCCCACTGCAGGGTCAGTTATGAGTCTGCTCTGGATTGATGGCACATAACAACCACCCTGAGAAGGAAAATGTAAGTATCCTTTAAAAACGGACATCCTCAGAAGTTTTTCACTCTCACAGGTTTGCTCACTAAAAACACTCATGAACTGTTCAAAAGGCATATATGAATAGGTATTATCGTCATGACATGAGTCCAAAACGAAGGCTGCAGAGTAGAGTGGACTTGTGGGGAGGGATTATAAAACAATGAAAGAATTTTTGTTTACTTTTCAAAGAGAAGAACAAACTAGAGGGGAGGGGGTGGGCAGGGAGAAAAGTGCAACAATGAATGAATGGAAATCCAAAATCTCTGTAAATTTTTATTAAAATAAATAATAATTATAATAATAAAAAAACTTACAAAAACCAAACAAAAAGAAAAAAACACTCATGACTTGGGCTTTCTACAGCAGCCGTCTAGAACACACACTGGAGTCAGCCCCAGTGTGAATTACACAGTGTGTCGGCAGTAATGAGCTTACCTCCTCGTCCAGGCTCCCACCCCGGTGCTGCCCACTCTCCTCAATCTCCCTTGCTGGTGCTGCTTGGGGCTCATGCTTCTCCGTGCTGCCTTCAAGCCCTTCGTTATCTGCAGGCTGTTCCTGGGCCTGCCGCTCTGCCCTTGACCGGCTGAAAGTTCTTTCTGCTTCTTGAAGGTCCGTTAGGGTTACACCCTAGGAAAGTAGCACAAGATCAGGGAAGAAAGATGGTCTTCGGTTTCACACTGACCATGGAATGACTCGTGATGAGTAAGTAGAGGAACGCTCTAAAAGATCTAATAGTATCAAGTTACAAATGAATAACCCAAAATGTATAATGAGGCCATTGCAGCAATATATGCTTAAAATAAGCACGTCAGTTTGCAAAGAACCCAGACCTAAGTCCAAGAATATTTCAAATGAAATACTTTAGCTTTTTCAATTTGATCTCCCCAAAAATAGGTCAACAGTGAGGTCTGCCTGGTGTAAATGGACTCTATGCATTCCAAATAGTTTTCTTTGAAACAGCTTTATTTGAAAGTTTGCTATCCTCTCAAAATCAAATGCAGACTGAGATTTTTCTGGACAGCAGATAGTAGAAAAAATTCATTTTAGTCATGAAAAAGGGAGAGAGAGAGAAAGGGAAAAGAAGGGAGGGGAGAAGGAGAGGGAGGGAGGGAGGGTAAGAGGGAGAGAAAAGCAGTAAGAAGTAAAACAAAAAAATCCTTAAAATATTGATGTTCTGGTTTTTCTCTAATACCATTTTCCAAATAGTTCTAGGAATCATCAGCATTCTAGAAATTAATTTATTTTACTCTAGCAGGTACAGGAAGGGGGTAGCGAGATAGAAGACAGACAGGTGACGAGGATATTGCTATGTAAGAAGGTAGAAAAGTAGTCAGAAGAACGTGAGCTGATTGAAACTTAAACAGGCATGTGATGAGGTTCTCGGAAGACGGAAAAGCTCCAAAGCTAGAAGGCAGAAGAACATCAAATACACTTATCTACAACTTGCTTTTTACTATCTGCTCATTTAGTCGCAAATTGTCTTAATGAAGAATCACTGAGTATCTCCAAACACTGAAAAACAAAGCCTAAGAAGCAAGTGATTTCTACACAAGAATCTCTTCATCTAGTGGAAAAGAATTAAGGAAAAAAGATGACTATAATGAAATATGAATGTTAGGACAGAAACACAGGAGTATGGAAGACAAAACCTAACATGGGGTTTTGAAGAGGTAACATAAAAATGAGTCATGGGAAAGGGGTGGGGAAAGAAGTATTATGGATTCTGTACTAATGAGATTCTATGCAAAGATATCAGGAAACAAGGGGCCATGGATGATTCCAGAATCTGTGGCAATTCAGCAAAAGTAAAGCATACACCAAAGAAAGGGAAGTTGGGGGAATGGAGGCCGAATGGGGATAGCAGAACTCAGGAAAGCAACAAAGACTAGGTAAAAAGGAATCATGAGTGTCATGCTACGGAGCCTGGATTTTATTTACTGGATAATCTTCTTTTGTGTGTCAGGGTGACAACCTCATAGAGATTAAATAGAGAGAAGTAAAATATTTTCTAATGCTATGTAGCATTTCAAGATTCCTCTGGGTTCTGACTATAATTCTCACTCTCCTGACATCTATGGATGTAGCTGGAGAAGTTCAGTTACGTGAAGAAGAATGTGGCTTTAGGCTTGGTGAAGGCTCATCAACTGTGTACATAATGCTGATGACACAACCTTGCTTGTAAAAGGCGAGGAAAATGTGAAGCACTTAGAGAAAAAGTTCAATGGCTATAGCCTTCAAATGGACTCCCCCCCAAATCAAGAAAACGAAAATCCTTATAACTGGACCAGTATGCAGCACTGTGATAGATGGGGAAAAGATGAAGGAGTAGTTATTTAATTCATTCATTTAAAGAGTAAGGATTTCCTTTTATTTGGACCCTCAATCAACACTCATGATAATAGCAACAGTGAAGAAATCAAAGATGTCCTGTATTTGGGAAATCTGGCATCAAAGACCTTAAAGTCCTAAAGGGAAAGGATGTCAGTCTAAAGGCTAAGGCGCGATGGACCCAAGTGTTGGTGTGTTTACACCTGCTTCATATAAATGTGGAAGCTGAACAATGAATAACGAAGATGGAAGAAGAATCAAGGCCGTTGAACTGTGGGGATGATCAAGAATACTGAATATACTACGGACTGCGAAAAGAACAAGCAAATCTGTCTTGGAGGAAGAGCAAGGATGGCAGAACTTCATCTCACTTATC